CTCCAGGCTTGGTGCTCTATCCAGTGAGTTACTCAGCTGCCCATGCTCCTATTTAAATTCCTATATAGTTAGACTATGGGAATAGGAGACAGAAGATCTGGATTTTAGAAGTAATTCTGTATGACCTTGAGTTAGTTACTAAAACCTCTCTGAGCCACTTATAAGGAGCAAATACATGTGAAAGCATCGATAATCATTTTCAAGTGCCTGATATATGTCATACACTGTGCTAAGTGCTAGGGATCCAAAGAAAGATGAAAAACCTCCCCAAAATAAAACTACAGTCCCAGCCTTCAAGGAGCTCACACTCTTATTTGGAAGATAATCTGCAAACAACTTGGTATATCCAAGATATAGTGTCAATGGAAACTAATCTATACAAATGTACTGGAATGTCATCAATGCAGGCATTCCATCCGTGCCTACCCTTGCAAATGATTATCATTTGTCAAAGAGGCCACAGGGATGCACTTGCTCATCACACTAGTTTAGAAAGACCTTCCTATTTATTTCTACCTAAAAACCAGTTTGGCAAACTGCAACATATATCATGATTTTTTCCCCTAAATTGCTTTGTACTGAAAACAATCCTTTAGTAAAAACCACTTTTTGAATTATTAATCAACTCCAAAGACTGTATTAGCACTAACACTTCCCACTTCCCTCCTCCCCCCGCCCCAGCTCTGAAGAATTGATTCTGCATTCAGTTTTCAAGGTTTTAGCCTGGAGCAGATTTCTTCAGATAATGTTCGAACTCTGAAAATCTGAAAATTATAACAGCAATAGTGAAAGTTTTTTTAAGGCAAAGTATTAACAAATGTGCCATTTTATTAAGGTGTACACCCTAGTGCATAGACTGGAATGGGTAATGGAAATATTGTGAGATTACTTTTTGTTGATGAGGTCTTTTCTAATTACAGGCACAGTGAAGCTGTATAGTTATGTTCTCTTGATTGAATTCTGGGCTGCTTTGGAGTTAGTTTGGGAAATATATGTGTTAATTCAAACCATTTCTACAAAACTGTTCACCACTGGCTCTTTGAATGGTTCAAAATTCTATAATACTAGCAAGATCATTCAGTTTTTAAATAAATACTTGCTACCCTGTAACTTCCCTCCATTGGGTCCAAGCAGAATAAATATACCTAATCCATTTTCCACATGATGCCCATTCCAACATCTAAAGTCATAAATTAGTCACCCTCTCACTTAAGTCTCATCTACTCCAAGCTAAATAGACCTAGTTTCAACAAATATTCATATAACATGGTTTCAGGTCCCCCTCACTATTCATCAGGACAGACTCTAGCATGTCAATGCCCTTCCTAAAATCTTGTGCCCAGAACCAAACAGAACACTCCAAATCTGACTGAGAGAACACTCAAAACTGTTACCTCCCTCACTTTGATGTATTTTCTCGTGTAATTGTTTTATTCCTTCTTCCCAATATACTAGATTATAAATTCCCTGGGGGAGGGGACAAGTCCTTTTGGTATATTTTTGTACCTTATAGGCTGTAGCACAGTACTCTTCATACAGCAGGTGTCAGTAAATAATCGTTAAATGAATCAATGAAAAGAAACCCTCTCCCTAATACAGGATGGCATAGTGGAAAGAGCACAATATCTAGAGTCAGAGAACCTGGGTTTGAGTCTCGGCTCTGCCGCTTACTAACTCTTACCAACTCTATGCTGTCGGGCAGATGCTTCACCTCTTTGGAGCTTGGTTTCCTCATCTGTCAAATGAAAGAGTTGGCCTGGATGGCCTCTAAGGTCCTTTCCAGCTCTAAATGACATGAGACCTTGGGAAAATACTGTCCTAGGCCTAGGTCTTGGTTTTTTCATCTGGAAAATGAGAGGTTGGACTAGACATCCCTAAGGTCTCTTTTTTATAATAACTCTAATTTTTTAATATAATTATATATTATATGTTATAAATATATACTTTATATATATATATATATATATATATGTACTTGTACACAAATAGGGAGGGGGGGATCTAATTTACCAGCACCCCAAGCAGGACAGCACTTCTCATTTTATCCCCTCTTCTTCTCTCTTCCTCCTCCCGCTTTTTTTTCACCCTCATTTCTAAATCACAGTCACTGTCAGTACTACAGTAAATAATGGAAAGTTGTTGTTTGTCCTTGGTTCAGAGAGGACCCTGACATCAGGAGGTGATGCCATGACTTGGAAGTGAATTGGATTGAAGTGAGGGAGGGCTGTGCAAATTCGCCAAGCCTCCCTTTCACCTCTGGAGCCATCTGGGTCCAGTGGCAAGACATAGATCAGGACTTGGCGATGGCCCTGGATACCATGGGAGATATTGGCCTTTTTATATCTAACTCACTCGCATGTTATAGCACCGCCTCCCTAATATCATGGTCCTCTTCAAGAACGAAGGACAAACAACAATAACAACAAAAGTATGGTGTCAAATTTGCACAAAATCTCAAAATGAGTACCATTAATTTTTTAATGTAACCTCTTAAGTATATGTTGTATTGAGTGGTCAAGAAGTTACTTGTTGACAGATTAGGAAAGGAAAACACTGTTATCAACCTCTGTGTTCTTATTCAAAACCCTAAGGAGTTCATAGCCCAGCACTGTTTAAGACCCCAAAAGTCTTACTTATATGGTAGTGGCCTATGTGAATTGGGGACTGTGACCTCATTCCTCAAACATAGTATAAGGGATCATTAGTTGGTATTCTTAACATCTTTTATTACATTGCAATGTCTCATTAAGATGGAATTCATGAGGTATTTATCAGACCCTCTGCATGATGGTCATTCTTCCTTTTATGATTTCTAGTTTAATTTGGATTAGGAAAAAAGTGTTGCTTGCTAATTTCAAAGCACAGGCACTCTTAAAAAAAATTGAATGCTAATGGTGTGAACATATTTTCTCATGGACTCAGGTCACTGATGAGAATATTAACTCTCTCTCTGTTTTTCACTTTATCTTGAAGTTTGGACCCAGAGTGGGGCTGAAAAAGCTTTATGATGAGTCTTAACTGGTGTTCCATTCACCTTTCTTCTATTCACAGAATAGAATTAACCCTAAACATTGTATTTTCTAAGAACCAAATTTGAACAATTAAAAAATAAGTATTTTAAAAGCTGAATGCTTGATGACTCTACAGGGACTTTTGCACACACCTAAAGTTTCCACAGGCTTCAACATGACTATATTCTCTCTGGAAAAGAGTTTTCAGTTTTGTGATTTTTAAACCCTACCTGTAAAGTAGATTGGCCTTGTTTTCTCATATTAGAGTTTCTGAATAATCTAAAAATATCAATTACAGTTGTTGTTGAGTCATTTTCCAGCCATGTCTGACTCTTTATGACCCCATTTGGGGTTTTCTTGGCAAAGATACTGGAGTAGTTTGCCATTTCCTTCTCCAGCTCACTTTACAGATGAGGAAACTGAAGCAAACAGGATTAAATGACTTGCCCAGGGTCACACAGCTAGTATGTGTCTGAGGCTGGATTTGAACTCAGGAAAAACAGTCTTCCTACCTCCAGGCACAGCACTGTATCCACTGTGCCACCTAGCTACCCTCAATTACAGCTATTCATATTCCATATTTTTATTGGGCTGGAACCCATTACCATATTTTATATTATAACTTCAAATACTACAAATTTGAATCCAGGGAAATAATTATTCACATTAATTAGGACCTAGCTATAATGATGATAGCTAACATTTATTTAGTGCTTTAAGGTTTGAAATACATACTTTATATTGATTATCTGATTGGTTTTCACAATAACCCTAAAAAGCAGATGCCATTCTATAAAAATGTACATACCACTTCTAGGGCTGTATCCCAAAGAGATCATAAAAATGAGAAAAGGACCCACATGTACAAAAATATTTATAGCAGCTCTTTCTGTGGTGGCAAAGAATTAGAAATTGAGGGGATGCCCATCGATTGGGGAATGGCTAAACAAGGTGTGGTATATGAATGTAATGGAATACTATTGTGCTGTCAGAAATGATGAGCAAGCGGACTTCAGAAAAACCTGGAAAGACTTGTATGGACTGATGCTTAATGAAGTGAGAAGAACCAGGAGAATGTTGTACACAGTAACAGCTACGTTGTGCTAACTTTGATAGACTTCTCAGCAATGCAAAGATCTAAGACATCTCCAAAAGTCTCACAATAGAAAATGCTCTTTTTTTTCTCTTCTGTTTTGTTTTGTTTCTTCTTTCTTGTGGTTCCTCCTATTGGTTCTAATTCTTCTTTACAATATGACTAATATGAAAATATGTTTAATAGGAATGTATATGTAGAGCCTATATTAGATTGCATACTGTCTTGGGGAGGGAAGTGGGAAGGGAGGGGGAGAAAATTTAAAACTCAAAAGCTTATATAAGTGAATGTTGAAAACTAAAAATGAATTAATAAAAAAGCAGATGCCATTATTGTTCTCATTTTATATATGAGGAAATTATGGCTATGAGAGGTTGTGACTTGCCCAGGATCATGCGGCTAGTAAATGTCCGAGACAAAATTAGAACTCATGTCTTCTTGACCTGAGTCCAACAATTTAAGTCTCATACATTATATTTTCATTGATAATTTGATAGAGGGCAAATTAATTTAAAGTTCTTATACCCTTTATTTTTGATTGGTATATTCATTCCTTCAAAACTTCTTTCTTCCCTGCCTCCATTTATAGAGAGCAAAATATGTACATATTTCTGTAAAAGGGGTATGAATTGTTGTTGTCAAAAGTCCATGCATGGGTGGGGTTATAAGGGAATAGATATGTGTGTCTGATAAGGTGATACCAACCACACAGGCATTGGGAGATAGGAGATTGAAAAACAAAAACATACTTAATGGGCACTACAGGTTGAAAAGTCATCACATTGGATTTTTATCATAAAATGATAAGTGGTACATACAACTTTATTTTAAGATATCCAATGGTAAGCTGGTCCATCTTCCTAAATTCTAAAATTTGTATTCTTCTTTCTCAACAGGGATCTGCCAATGTTCTCTCCCTGGTCAAAAGAGAAGATTGATTATCTTGTTCACTGTTCCTCACTCAGACGCTATAGGTTGTCAGTTGTAAAGTTCTGCAGTCTTATAAACTGTAGAACATAATAATCTCTGTTAGCTATAGAGATAAGTATAGTTTGAGCATGATCTTATCAAGTTATCATGTCTTGGTTATCTAATCCCTAAATTCCATATAAGAACATACCTAAACCATCTTGGAAAGAGGCAAATCATTTAAAAAAGTATATAGACAGCAACTCTCACTTTTGGCTATTTAAATCTTTGAGTCAAGAGGACCTGGGTTCCATCTCACCTCACTTACCTCACTCAGAAACTGTGACAAGTCACTTAACCTCTCTGCACCTCAGTTTTCTCATCTGCAAAATGATTTGGGGGGAGGTAGACTAGAGGACTTTTAAGGTCCCTTCCAACACTCAATCTATTTTTGTATGATTTCCCTGATCCATTTCCCTTCCTTTCCTCAATGCAACTAACTGTGAAAAAACTGTTTCTAAATACTCTTCATATACTAAGAATGGTACAAACTAGTTATTTTTCTTTCCTCTAGGGCAAAACACGGCAATCCAAGCTACTTTATCCCACAATTAAGACTAATTTTAAATTTCCTACCTGTTCATCCTGAAATTTGCTCCCTCCCACTAATTAAGAACCTTTCTCCCTTATGAAAAGTCCACTTGGAGTGATAAGACAGGGTAGTGGTGGTTAAATCTCATCCTTCTGAGGGAAGTGTAATCTATTATGGTTAGGGTAGAACAGAATATCTGATGTGATATGTGGTCTAGGTATATCAATCAACCAACAAGCATTTATTTCTGTGATTCCTTAGTTGTCTTTTTTTTCCCTCCATGAACTTCCTTTCCGCCTGGGCAATCACATTTTTTGGCTCTCCTCGGAGCTTTTAGGTTTGAATTGTTTCTACACTAAGACAAGAAAAGAAAGCCACAATATCTAAAGTTTTCCATTTAGGGTCAAGTCAAGTCAACAAGCATTCATTAAAAGTTCAGCATGTATTAAGTACTATGTTCATCATTGGGATTACAAAGATAACAACCAAGACCCTGCAGGACCTCAAGGAGCTCATAATCTAATGATAACCTATTTCTTCCACTTAGTGGTAAAAATGAGCAGCGACAGCTTTTCTTGAGATTCTGTTTGCACTTTGTAAAAAGGAAATGTGTGTGTGTGTTTTGTGTTCTTTCCTCCTACATGGAACAGCATCAAATGAGAAAAGGAAATCATAACCATTTCCCAAATGTTCCCACAGTTGGTGGGAACAACATAGTCATTATGGCTCCAACACATTATACCCCGTAAATGTGAAAGAAACGTGATTATTGCTGTAGTACTCTAAAAGTGCTAAAATCCTCCTGCTCACTGTCTAATTTGTGCATATTGCTTAAAACAATCATGAGGGAAGTTTCCTAGTGTTTTGACCATATAAATATAAGTCATGCTTATTATTTGTATTCATCCTTACACACAAAGAAGGCTTGAATAGCCAGTTCAAACAGAAGGGGTGTGTGTGTGTGTGTGTGTGTAGGGAATCTCTCCAGGTTACACCATTATCTTCATTTGCCTTGGGCGGGTCATTATAGCCATCTTTGTGTTTGAAGGGATGTCCTGTGGAAGATAGATTACACAACTTCTACTTGACCTCTGAAGGTGGAACAGGGAGCAGGGGCCAAAGGGGCAGAGAAGCAAATTCAGGTTCAGTGTAAGGAAGAACTTCTTAACAGAGCTCTCCAAAAAGGGGGAGGGGGAACCTCAGCAGGTAGTGGGTTCCCCACTGCCCCACCTGGAAGGTTTTAAGCAATACCTGAATGCTAACATGTTGGGTATGTCTTTTCAGTTGCAGGTGGATCAGATGACCTCTGAGGTGACCCATTTTCTGTGGTGTTTTATTTTCTTGTGATATTTATGTCTTTAAATATGCTGGCCTTCTGTTGCTGTGTTTTCAGAATTCAGGCAGTTATTAATTTAAGATTGAAGAACTAAATACTCCAGCGTGAGTTAGTTTTTTGTTCCCAGGAAGCTCTGAGGAGTTAATTTCCTGAGTCTTTTTTTTCTCATTGTTGAACAATTAAAGTTAATGGATGCTGAAAAAAAAATTTAACATGTAAAGAAAATGAAGTGAACTTTGGTTTTTATATATTTCCTGATTTGAAGGTTTACCATTGGTCAGAATTTCCTGAGCATTAACTTGGGGCAAATCACTGTACTCTGTGTTGTGGACGCAAAACAAAAGAAATAAGAGAGATGATAGACTTGCCTTCCTGTAATGAAGTTACAATTTAATTGGAAAACTAGAACACCTTTATAGAACAGAGAACTTTATTCTGTGCCTGTCTATTGCGTTTGTTAAGTAATTCTGTACATCTCAGTAACTCATGTAGCCTGTTAGATATCTCCAGCTGGATGTCCCACAGGCAAATCAAATGGAATGTGTCCAACACAGAACTCACTCTTTATGTCCTCAAATACAACTCTGCTCCAAATATCCTCATAGTTTGACATATTTCCTTATATATTTACTATTTATCAGTTTTGTGGTACCATAATATTCTATTCTATTAATATACTATAATTTATCTATTCTTTAATTGTTGAACATGCAAATGATTTTCATTTTTTCTTTACAAATAGAAAACCTATGAATATTTTTATACAGTTAGAACTTTGATAATTTTTATGATGTTTTGAGAATAATATTCCAGCCATGGTATCTCTTAGTCCAAAGGTATGATGAGTATTGTGACTTTTCACATATTGCTAATACAGCTGACAAGAGTGTTTATAGCAGTCTGTAGTTCTATCAATGTCTGTTTCCCTACAACTCCCTAATGGTTTTATCTTTGGGTTTTTTTTTTTTGCCATTCTAGTGTATGTAAGCTAGACTTCCATAGTTTTCTTGACATGGGCCCTTTTTCCAATTCCTTCTCATTGCCAGGATATTGTAGCCTCAAATCCGTCTCTCAAATCCTCAACCTCTCCTTCCTGACTTCAAGCATGCTCACCTCCCCATTCTCCAAAAATCATCAATATGCCCTACCATCCCTTTAAGTTATTTTCCTATATCTCTCCTCCCTTTCTCAGTCAAGCTTCAAGAAAAGGCCATCTACATTTGCGGTTTTCATTTCCTTTTTATCATTCCTCAATCCTCAATCCAGCTTTTGACCTCATCACTCAAATGTAACTTTTCTCTCCAAAGTTACCAACAATCTCTTAATGACCGAATCTGATATTTTTTTCTGTCCTGATTCTTCTTGATCTGTATGCTGCATCTGACACTGTTGACCACCATCTTCTCCTAGATAATCTCTCTAGGTTTTTAATGACACTACTCTTTCCAAGTTCTCCTCCTAACCTGTCTGACAACTTCTTGGTCTCCTTGTTGACTCATCATCTATATCATGCCCCTTAAATGTGGATGTTCCCCAAGGTTCTGTCTTAAGCTCTCTTCTCTTCTCTCTCTGTAGTCCTCTTCTGGTAACCTCATCAGCTTCCATAGGCTTATTTATCAAATGACTCGTAGAGCTATGTATCCCATCCCAGTCTCTCCCTTGAGCTTCAGGCATGCAACACTAATTGGCTATTGGAGACATATCAAACTCAGCATGTACATAGCTGAACTCATCATCTTTCTCCTTAAAACCACTCCTTTTCCAAACTTCCTAGTTTTTGTCAAAAGTACCACCATTCATCCAGTCTTCCAAGTTCATAACCTCAGGTCATATATTCCTCAGTTCCTCACTATCTCTCATATCTAAGTAGTTGCCAAATCTTACCATTTCTATCTCTACACCATCTCACACATCCAATCCCTTCTCTGTGCTTGCACAGTTACCTCCTTAGTGCAAGATCTCATCCCTTCTCACCTAGAGTATTGCAACAGCTTCCTAACTGGTCTCTCTGCCTGCTGCAAGTCTCTTACCACTCCAGTCCAATCTACATTCTACTGCCAAAATGATTTTCCTCAAGCACTTCCAAGCCTGAAATGCACTTCCATTATAGAATCCATCTCTTCCCTCTCTTCCATCAGGATATAGCTTAAGTATCCTCTTCTTTCCCAATCCCCACAGCTGCTAGTGTTCTCTTTCCCAAATGACTTCATATTTAACTTATCCGTTTCTACTTGTAATTATTTCTCTTTCTCTTTATTCTGAATGTTTGTCTATGTTTAGAATGTATACTCCTTGCAAGTAGGTTTTGTTTAATTTTTGTATTTGTATCCCAAGTGCCTGGCACATTATAGGCTTTTAATAAATGTTTGTTGATTAATTATTGCATTTTTTCTGATGATTTGGGAGTTTGTGCATCTTTTCATATGGTTATTATTTCATATAGTATTTCTTGAGGGATGGTCTATTCATGTCTTTTGACCACTGTTCCATTGGGAATCACTCTTAATAAATAGGTCCCATTTAGGCAAAAGGGTAGCATTTCAAAATCATACGTCCATGGTAGCCTCGTCTGTACAGGGGAATTCCAGATGCTCAGTAGTGCTCAGCTGTGGTTCTGCCCACATTTAGACATCAGATGCCATCAGTATTGCCTAGGACCATCTTGTTTACACTAAGATGCACTGGCTTATACAATATCACATTTTAACCTAGTTGTTTCATGCATCTGCAGCACTTCTCCCCATAAGCTTCTTGAGGGCAGATATTGTTTTCTGCCTGTTTTTATATTCTCTCATAACCCCTAGTACAATGCTATCCACACCATGTGTTTGTTGAAGAATAGAGGAAATGAGTGAATGGATATTTTTAATATTCACTATTTTTTTATTCTATTTAAGGGCTGGGTTTCTTGTCTGTGAAAATTTATACTCCAACTACCTCATCATAATCAGATCGGTAAGCATAAAATCAGAGTGATATTTTTTTTAAAATTCAAGTAAGAAGGCTACCACTAACAACAAAATAGACTTTGACCCCATCTCTATGGTTAGTTGCAATACCCCAAAAATGACTGAATCAAGGGGACTTTATGGTACAGAAGCAGATAAGACTAAGAATATATTAGGTCACTTTTTTTGAATCAATTGAATCAGAGAAGTCAATACATGAAATGGGTGTAATTCAAACCCTGTAGACACTGAATGTCACTGGTGCTCATCCATATATTCTCAATCCTTTTTCAGGGTCGGTGCCTGGTAATGGCCCAGATAGGAGAGAATATATCTTCACGAAGCAGTTCGGACACACTGAAGTCAGGTATCTCTTCTGTTCTCTTTCCAAAAAGAAAATCTAGACTTAATTGAAATGATCCTTAAGCTCCTCTAGGAGATTGTGTCATCAACCATTCCTTCTCAGTTCCCCTCCCCCTTATCTCCCATCATCAGTCTCCCCTATCTATTGGCACTTTCTGTTTACAAACATGTCCAGGTCCATCCAATTTAAAAAAAAACAAACATTCACTTGACTCTGCAGGCCTCTGAAACAATCATCCTATGTTTCTTCTCCATTCATTGTCAAACTAGTCTACTTGCTCACCAACTTCTCTAACCCTTGCAAATTTGGTTTCCAACCCTTCTACTCAAATGAAACCGCATCCTCCATTGTTATCAACAGTTACTGAGCTGACAAATCTGATGTCTTTTTCTCAGCCCTCATTTTCCTCAATCACTCTGCAGCTGCTGATCACTCTTCCCCCTTGGATACTCTCCTCCCTTGGCTTCTGCTACTTTGCTCTCTGCTGGCTTCCCTTTTACGTGATGGCAGGTTCTCTGTCTCCATTTCTGGATCATCATTCCTCTTCCACTTCCTTGGCTCTATCTGGGTGTCTCCTCGTCTTCCTGTAGACTATCCCTCATGGCAATCTTGCCTTCTCCCAAGTGACTTTCCCAAGTAATTTTGAAACTGTTTATTGAAGATTTTGGCATTAAGAAAAAATATTCATTATCTTTAAAATGGCACCCTCAACAAAAAATATCTTCCCTCCTCTAAGCATCTACAAGTTTTTTCAAGAAACATCTTTTGGCTCCTCGGATAACATCAGTTACCTCATTGTCAGCACAATCCTGGGTAAGATCAGGACATAAATCTGGGTGAGGGCTAGATGTATTAAAATTATGTCCTAGTTGTTGTTGTTTTTTTCCCCTTTTTTGGCATTATTGAGGGGAACCTGAGATCTCTTCTTTCTTAAAGTAGAATATTATTCTCAGTTTGATAGTTTAGTACTCTACTTTCCCCTGTAGAAACCTGGGATGTTGAAGGTGCTTTTTTCTATGGTATAAGCTGGAGTAGCAAGCTGGGCAAGATAAACAACAAAACTCTATAGGATTTTCCTGAATATATTCTTTGCGTGTGGTTAAAATGGGCCATTCTAAAACTTATCTCTACATTGACAAAATATGGCATATAATAGAGAAAATGGATATGACTTCAAATCCCAGGTAGCTGTGTGACCTTGAGTATGTGCCTGGGCCTCAGTTTCCTAATCTGTAAAAAGAAGGAGTTGGACTATATGATCCAGCTCTTAATCCCAAGATCCTATCTATAACCACTTCAAAGCCTATGAAGGCTTAAATCATTTTCAAAAACTAGGGTGAATGCCTTTGTTGTAAAAGCATAACCATTGTTTCAGAAGCATCTGTGACATAAAGGAGATGTCTCTTGACTTGACAAAGGGCATGTAGACATGCAAATGAATTGGATTTAAGTGAGGTAGGGCTGTGCAAAATCACCAGCCTCACTTTCTCCTCTGGAGCCAGCTGGGTCCAGTGGCCAGATATAGATCAGAATGACTGGAGATGGCCCAGGATGCAATGGGAGACCTTGGCCTTTTTAAGCTACCAAAGTCTCAATGACAATGGAGGGGCCAATGGATTTTCTAAGGAGGTGCTGCTAGTACCTGTGTTGGTTCTTTTTTTTGGGGGGGTGAGGGCAATTAGGGTTAAGTGACTTGCCCAGGGTCACACAGCTAGTGAGTATTATGTGTCTGAGGCCAGATTTGAACTCAGGTCCTCCTGACTCCAGGGCCGGTGCTCTATCCAGTACTGCCCCTCTGTGTTGGTTCTTGTCCATGTCTGCTGCTCACCATAGAATCTTCAAATGGTTTTACTCTTTGGTAATTATTAACATTTACTTTCAAATAAGAAGGACTTCCTGACTAGAAGGTTTATTGGACAAAGAACTGGGTTACCAAGGGAAATGGAGGAACTTCTCCTTAGAGATCTTTAAAAATACAAAAGATATCCATCTGTAGGAAGTCCGTCCAATGAGGACTTTATACAAGTTTAAGTGTCATGTATGAAACAGGGGTATGGACTAGATGACCTTCACCAAGCCTTTTCTATTGATGTAATACCATAGTTCTAAAAGTCATCCCAATCCATCCTTTTTATGAGGTCCTGACCTTTTCCTTGTATTTGTCCTGCCAGAGAAATAAGGCAATTTCCTTTTCATTGGATTAGGTATGCCCCACTTAATTCCATCAATAGACTCTATAAGCATGTTCTTTTTATAGATCACTTTAATATGAATCAAAGTATGAATCATTTCCTAAATTAATACATCAATTAATCAACTACCATTAAGCCCTTGTTAATTAAATTAATCAAGGAAATGGATGCTTTCATAAAACAGATGAATTTGTGATTTAAGCAGTTTGTTTCTTCAACATCTCTCTTTAATTGGCTTGATAGACATTTTCAGCATCTTATTGCTCACTCAGGGCCAGAAGGAGTGACCTGAAGCAAAAGGTAACAAAGTTCTCTACATGACTATTTTGGTATATTGTAAGAAAGGAAAACTGTTGAGAGTGGTTTTCTAAGAAATGGTTGGATTCTAGCCACACTCCATTTGAAATTAGCCAAGCAAAGTATGACTTCTATGACCCTGGCTGGTCAATCCGCTTCTCTGGATCATTTCTGTCAGTGACTTCATTGAAGCTTTTGCTTCAGTGAAACCTGGAAACCTACCACACTATTATCTACCTGAATACTTGGTATATCTGTCACTCTACATGAGAACTTATGATACCACAAACTGTAGCAAACAAAACTAGAGAAGAGCCATGATTTCAAAAGCTGGCACAGCTGCCCTGCATTTCAAGCTAGTTATTTCACTGAAGTGGTTGTAACAGAAAGTGACTTACTTGTGGAGGTAACAGGATGCATGAGAAGGAGCATTGGCCTTGGAGTTTTAAGACCCAATTCTCCTTCTCATTAGTACTATGACTTTGGGCAAGTCCTTTCACCTTGAGGCAGTTATCCTAGATGATCTTATTGCTCCCTTCCAGATCTAACATTCTGTTATCTAAAAAAAAAAGTTTGAACAGAATAAGGCCAAAGCTTTTTTTTAAAATAATTCTGGAAAATACCTCCAGCAGCCATAGTTGCCTTATTTCCTGTCAAGATGAACATTTACTGACAATTTAAAATGTTCAGATTACTACACAAGGCAGTTAGGTAGTGCAGTGGATAGAGTGTTGGAGTCAAAAGGACCTGAGTTCAAATCCAGCCTCAGATACGTACCAGCTGTGTAACTTTGGTTAAACCACTTAAATGTCTTTGCTTCAGTTTCCTGATCTGTAAAATGGGAATAATAATAATACTTACCTCCCAGGGAATGTTGTGATGATAAAATGAGATAATATTTATAAATCACTTTGCAAACCTTAAAGCTCCATATAAATGATAGCTGTCATTAATATTATTTTGCATAGTGAGAAAACATAAAAGTCATAATAATAGAAGGCAAGGATTTTGGCCTTGAGACACTTACAGCTTAGTTGGGAGATTATAAACTCACAATAACCAATTAAAGACACACAGAAAAAAACTACAAAATGAGAGACAGTGTAGCATAAAGCTGGTGTCAGAAAAATAGGATCCAAATTCTGATTTAGACACTTAAAAGCTTTTTAGCCATGGGTAAGACATTTACCTTTTATGAGCCTCAGCTTCTTTATCTGTAAAATGGGGATGATAATACTTGTGCTACCTGCTCACAAAGTTGATGTGACAACAAGCTTCATAAAGTGCAAAATCATATAAATTTAAGGTATTTATATTTGTAAGGATGTTTTAACAAGAAAACCATTACAGAATATCTTGAAACTACAGAGTGTTTAATAATGCTATTATGTGTAGCCCGTACTAAGCTCTGGAAATCTTTATCCCAATTCATACTCTCACTGATGAATCAATTCCCCAAGAAATAGGCTATATATCCTGCTCAGAGAACCCTTGATAATACTATCAAATTGACCCCCTATTCAAATGTGCTCTGTCCATCATCAGTTGCCAGTATTATTTAACTAATTAATATATATTAGCTTTTACGAAGAGATATTTACTGAGAAAACATAGCAAGAACAGAAATATAATCATGTCCCCCCAACACCTATGCACACACTTTCCCTTATATCACCTTGGTCCCTGAGGAGAGTTGGCTCAATCTTAAAACAGTTTCTACTTATCATTCTCCCCACCAATTGTCTGAATTTGTCATAGCCAATGGAAAAATTGCTATAGTTCCCCCTTGGCTGCCTTCAATCTAGGTTGGATTAAAGAGGTTGCTTAGGAATTCACTTCACTGTCTCATCTGACCACATAATCTGGCATAGACAATTGCTCCCAGACCTCTGGTTCCTCACCATTCCAACCCTTTGAAGTTCACAGGGTTATCTGGGTCTCCAAAGCTCTTTCATCTAAAAGCAGGCAAAGAACAGAAGCCCCCAGTGGTGACCTCATTCAGAGGCTTACAATGTATCTCTCTTACTCAGACACAGCCAGTCCTGCTTAGTGCTTTCTGAATAGACACCCAGTACTAGCTCAGCAGCCAACACGTTTGGGAAAGGAAGACAGTGATCTGAATGTAGCCATAGGAATTCAGAAAAGGTTACCAATTTTTCCATACTTCTCAAGTATTACTAACTAAAAATCCATTGTTATCTAAAAGGCCCTGTGACTAACTCCCAGAGTCAAAATGGAAAAGGGGACATAATCACCCCAAGGATGTTGTGCTTACCACAAGCCAAGTGGTCCTGGGAAGCTCCTCTAGATATAAAGATAAGTGATCTGAAGGTTTTTGCTGGGCTTTCTGGGTATAAGTAAGTCTGACTCACAGAACGGTAGAAACATCCCTCAGGATATGGGATGATTCAACAAAAGAAAATAAAACCGTAAATCCACCCCTGCAGAGAATAAATTAGTACTGCAAAATTCAATAGGAAAGTGCCAGATGACTCATTGGAGAAAGAACCTAGCAGCAATAGAGTAGAGAAACAAGAGTAGCAGCTCAGTAGAGAAAGCAGCTCAGCAGATGTCATTGTCTTCTTTCTAGGGAAGCAGCCATTGATATCTCAGGAGACTTGATGTGCAAAACGTGGAGCTTGAATTGTCAGTGGCTATGCATTCTTTCCTATGCCACAGGTGTCATGGGAACCTTTGGTAAAATGTGCCCTTAATTGTATTGGGGAGATTTTTTCCCCTTGTTATTTACCTTGCATTCTATTTTAATTGCATTCCCTTTGCTTTATTGCGATGCCACATTTTACTTTGGCTTAGTTAGGGAAGTTAAATGGAGATGGGGGTTCATGAGTTATGCGTTGATAGAGACGATTATTCCTTGAGCACCACTGACCTGAGAGTCACTAGGAGAAGAGGTACATTGGGAGGAATGTGTTCTGGGTGCTACACCTGAACTATATTCTCTCCTCATTTCTTCCTCTTGAAATCCTTAATTTCATCCAAGGCTCAGCTCTGGTCTTACCTATCCCTTCAAGCTTTTCCTAATGCAGGTGTTTCCTGATTTTTTTCCTAGTTGTTAGTGCTCTTTGCCCTTGTATTTAGTGCTATTGTATTTATGTATCTGTGTACATGTTGGATCTTCCCAGTGGAACAGAAACTCGACGAGGGTAAGAAAGTGTTTCATTTTTTGTCTTTTCCCCCCACCACTTTAATTAATGCCTTGTGTTTAGTAGGAATTTATTAATATTTGTTTTTTAAAATTTTATTTTTATCTTCAATTCAAGTTCTCTGCCTCATTCCACTCCTCCCCCAACCATTGAAAAGGCA